CAAATTGTTCACAATATGCATGTTCCTATTTATTGTAATACTTTTTATCAAAAAATGGCGGGAAATGCGGTCTTTTAAAGTTTGACCTTTGACCTTGTAATGTCATATCTCAGTAACTACTGGTCATAGAGACTCACAATTGATTGCAAATTGTTCAGGAAATTCATGTTTATATTCGTCCTAATGAAAAAAATATTCAAATAGTGACCGGAAACGTACATTCTGACCTTTGACCTATTGTAGGGTCATTCCATGTCAAATCAACCAGATTAAAAAGAAATTCCTGTATGACCGTCTCAGATTTTGATGAAACTTCATCAAAATGATCCACTGTATGAAAAACCAAAAAAAAAAAAAAAAAATAGCCTCATAGGATATGTAGTGTTCGAGATATTGACTCCTCAAAAATATAGGGCGTGGTTCTTCAAGATGTGCAAACGCAATTTACCTCAAATTTGGAAGCTTATAACTCGAGATTGGTAATAGCTATCAGGGTCAAACTTGGTATTATAACATAGTTGTCGCCATATTTCACAAATATCGCCTTAGATTAACAGTTATCCCTTCCCTTTTGAAGTTACCTGCACTCAAATTAGCCGCTTTGTTTAACGATGCAAATTTTTTTTGTGATTTTCAAGGTCACCTTGCTTCCATTTGAATAAGTATATACCCCTCATATTACAGGTGTATTATCTAAGTGTAGTTGTCTCAGGCACATGCAAGCGCAGGCTGATCAAATCAATTAAAATTGAATGGCATATATTCAAAGTTGGGACCAGATCTATAAAAGTGAAAAATGCATAGGTTTCTCAACAACAGATCGTCTTGTGGAAAGTTAAAATCTTTTCTTAAATTTACCCCAGTTAATCAGATATATTAGATCTACCTATAAACCAAATTTCGGGTTTGGTACTCAGCTCCTTCATGGTTAGATACTATGTTGAAAACTACACAATAACATAATCGGAAATCACGAAAGTTGTTAAGAGTTGAGTCATTCTATGCCAACTCAACAAATGCATTACACCAGGGTCATAGATTTCTAAATTTTGTTTTGGACACTGTCTCAGTGATATAGATATCTATGTGAACTGAAAACCTGAAATTTTGAGACTTGCCAATTCATTTGTTTTCCTGTAGCGGCAGTTTGAGGTTAAGGGGGCGTGGCCTCTCAACAAATGCATTACAACATTACAGGTCATAGATTTTTAAGTTTGTGCACCCTCCGGCCTTGTGAATAGAAAAACCTGAAGTTTTGAGACTCAAATTCCCTTTTCGTTTTCCCGTAGCGGCAATTCGACGTAAAGGGGGTGTGCCTCAAATTAACTTTGATTTTCGTATGCTAATATCATCATACAACCCCTTTAACCTTGTGTGGTGTAGGACACCTTTACTGCTGATTCCAAATCCTTAAAAACATGTTTTTAACACATCATCAACAATAATACCCTACTTTTATATAAATATTTTGCTTTAATTTTCTAAATCTATGTCATATAAACCCACTAAATTTTTTATGAATTTCAGATTCATTTATCTAAAGTTATTTCTGGTTTAATTCTTAATTTAAATTCTTAGTTTAATTCTTCAACCTGGGTAATAATAACCTCATCAAATTTGTATTGTGGGTGACGGCCCTTATTATTAGTAAGTCATAGCACATGGCAATTGGGACATCACATACATCATTTTTTGTGGCCAATATATGGTTATTTATTTCCTGGAAACTTTCTATTCTGTTTCATGAATATATTCATGTTCGATTCATGAATAGAAACTTCCTAGAATTCGTATTATATTCATATTTATTTGGGCCACGCCCCCTTAACTTCAAACTACCAACTACCGATACAGGAAAGTGAACGAATTGGAGAGTCTCAAAATTTCAGGTTTTCAGTTCACATAATATATCTATATCACTTAGTCAGAGTGGCAAAAAATTAAAAAAAAAATCTATGACCCATGGTCATGGTGTAATGCATTTGTGTGTTTGGCATGGAATGACCCAACTCTTAAAATTGTTTGTGATTTCCTATTACGTTGAAATATGTGTAGTTTTCAACATAGCTCATGAGCTAAGTACCAAAGCTAAAATTTGGTTTATAGGTAGATCCAATGTATCTGATTAACTGGGGTAAATTTAAGAAAAGATTTTAACTTTCCACAAGACGATACGTTGTTGAGAAACATTGGCGTTTTTCACTTTTATAGATCTGGTCCCAACTTTGAATATATGCCATTCAATTTTAATTGCGCTTGCATGTGGCTAGAGACAACTACACATAGATAATATTTCTGTAATATGGGGTGTATATACCCACTCAAATAGACGCAGGGTGACCTCGAAAATCACAAAGCGGCTACTTTGAGTGCAGATAACTTCAAAAGGGAAGGGATAACTGTTAATCTAAGGCCATATTTGTGAATTGTGAAATATGGCGAAAAACATGTTAGAATACCAAGTTTGACCCTGATAGCTATTACCAATCTCCTGTTATAAGCTTCCAAAATTGAAGTAAATTGCGTTTGCACATCTTGAGGAACCACACCCCATATTTTTGAGGAGTCAATATCTCGACAACTACATATCCTATGAGGCTAATTTTTTTTTTGTTTTTTGTTTTTCATACAGTGGATCATTTTTATGAAATTTCATCAACATCTGAGACGGTCATACAGGAATTTCTTTTAAAATCTGTTTGATTCCACATGGAATGACCCTACAATAGGTCAAAGGTCAGAATGTACCGTTTCCGGTCACTATTTGAATATTTTTTTCATTAGGACGAATATAAACATGAATCTTCTGAACAATTTGCAATCAATTGTGAGTCTCTATGACCAGTAGTTACTGAGATATGACATTACAAGGTCAAAGGTCAAACTTTCAAAGACCGCATTTCCCGCCATTTTTTGATAAAAAGTTGTATTACAACCAATAGGAATATGCATATTGTGAACAATTTGAGACCAAAAACAAGTCTCTCTGACCAGTGGTTATCGAGATACAAGCGTCCAAATCAACAGGCGGCCATTTTGAAAAACGCCCCCAAACGGGACTTTCCCCCAATATCTGGGAGGTATATAGGAGCTATATGTTATCTAAATTGGTCCATCTTGCCAAATCCATCGAGAAACAAAGGTATCCTAAAATTAGTCACGGATCACATGAAAATGACTCTACTAGTATAGTGTTTAATATTATCTACATACATAGGATTACTGTTTTACCTAATTTCAAAAAATTATAGTTAGTAAATTGAATTTTATATAGCCATTATTAAACAATAATTATACAGCCTTTGACACGGATATGTTTATCTATTTCAATTAAGTGATACCAAAAGTTTACAAACTCCAGTTTTACGCTGACGCAACCTCGAAATGACGTCATAATAATCAGTGGCGGATTCAAGTGAGCCGAGCCGAGCCGACCCTAAATTTTTCAAAATTATTTTTTTTAAATGGGAAAAAAACAAAGGAAAATTATAATTAGAATTTAGGTCTGAGAGTGCCATTTCCCGCAATCTAGAGGTGTCATAATTATAAATTTTCTTTCCTCAGCCCCACGGGGCTGAGGTGATCTCTATTTTCCCCTATTGTGCAAGTCCCTCCCTGTCCCCCCTCTAATTTGCTTTCCTGGAGCCGCCACTGATGATGATAAATTAAGTAAATCACCTTTATGTTTGTGAAATCAAAATGCTAACTAATGTTTTGTGTGCTTCCTATCTCCCTTTCCTGTTTGACCGTAAATTAGACGGTATAATTTCCACTCACAATAGTGTATTTGCAATTTTACTTACACAAAAGCGAAATTCAAAAAGAGGAGAAAAGCAAAAACCTCTTGATTGATTTTAAAATTACTGTACATGCAAAAAGACTAAATTAATTACTGTTTTATCTTATTTGTTTTTCATGGTTCGAATTTTGAATACGTTACAGTCTATCAGGAGATAAGCAATCATTATTTGTATGAATGTTAGTTGGCACGAAATATATAAGCGGGCATAATTATGACTAAAAGAATAATTTAAAAAACTTGTTATGATGAGTATTTTAGTGGCACATTCAAGTGGCCTGCCGGCCCACCATCCCTAATTTTTTATCCCCTAAATTTTAAAGTAGAGAAAATGGAAATTATATTCAAATTCAGTCTGAGAGTGCCATTTCCGACCAACTAGAGGTGCCATAATCATAAATTTTCTTACCTCAGCCCCAACCATGGTGGGGCTGTGGTGGTCTTCACTCTCAATCTGTGCAAGTCCCTCTCTGGGCCCAGCTCTATTTCAAATTACTGGATCCGCCACTGGATATTTTGAAATTTCGTATGGAAATAAATGTTAATTGCATTGCTTAAAATCAATGGGCCTAAGGCTTTATTTTTCATTCCGTCCCCCCAATTTCAACCACGGATCGACGCCCTTGCTCATATCGTCGGAGCGCCGCGGGCCACCCCTGGACCCATCCCCTCCCCCAGCCAACTGGTGTAGTCACTCACACATTTCAAATCTCTCAGGTTGGTAACTATGCATTGAATACCATCATTGTTTTCAATTTTAATACCCTCATTATATTAATGGTCGAGAAGATTCCTTTGTTGGACTAAAAGTCTAGGCCAGAAATAAATACCACGTCATTTAATGAACCCACTTTTGTTTCTATTTTCAACATCACATTGTTACCAATTTCTAAAGAACACACAATGGTGGACTATACATTTTAACGAAATATAACAAACCTAACTCGTCACGATGCACAACGCCACTTAATTAATCATCTTCTTGTTTTTGAATATTTACACATTACCTCATTGTAAGATTCCATTCATTGTGAAGAAATTAAAATTAATAAAATTATGAATTATTAATTATGAATTATCATGGCGTAATATTCCCGTGAACTAGACTGCAATGCCTTACTATTATTAATTTTACACACCAACTCAATTCTGAAATATTATAGTAAAGTAACTCTAGCTCAACATGTAAAATTATCATCACTTATTTATTAACTAGGGCTCTCATCTCTTCATTTTGTCTTGTGTCAATTTCTGACCACTCTTGTTTCTGTCCTTTAGCAAATATTAGAAAGAACACCATCCCAAAGAATTCAACTGCAGCAGTTATCATGAACATCGAAGACCATCGTTCAAATGTATTCTGAAAGCAAACCAAAAATCAAATGAAAGATTCCGAATATCTTGCAACTATGTAGTTTGGTTGAGACTCCAGACCTTCAGCTGCAATCATTTCACTAATTATTTTTCACTAAAAGGGCGGATATTCTGGATTTAAGATTCAGGAAAACATATCATAGCCTATACAAAGAAAGTTTTATTTACACAATGATGGAATAGGCTACAATAGTTAGTGCAGGAGCAGGGGTCAGCCCCTCTCCTACTTCCCCCCCCCCCACCTTTTCCGTCTGGAATAGCTGCTGTCAGGTAGAAAACCACAATTTGTCGGGGAGAATAAGTTATATGTATTTTATACATAATGTATTAGCAGATTATCTATAAAATCGCCTCTAATCCCCCTGAAACCCTTAATTATCGTATTTTTCGGGGGGTTCCCCCTGGACCGCTTTCGAAACATTTTGAGCGACGCCCGACCACGCTCATTTTGGTCCCGTCGGCCACATCCTGGGGTCATCCCTGAGTTATTGCGGTATACGATTTTAATAACTTTTTTGGAGCCTACGCCATCCCACCCTGGGCCTCAGAAACATGCCCCAGATAAATTATAGCCTTGAAAATTCACTGAAATCTTCTGAGACAACCAAACAGTCGGTTTATCTCAAAAACCATAATTATTTTAAAACATGGTGTACCGAAAGTTTAATGGACCTTTCCGTGAAGCCTTGCCATTTGGATATTGTTGCTAACGTCCAACAACGTCCTACAGTGTTCGTGCGTTTGTGGGACAACACATGTTTGTGAGACGCGCGCGTATTCGATCCTGGTGCTTTTCTGATTGGTCAGTTGTTAAGTTTGATTGACACTCCGGAAAGGTCTATTATGTTATTATTGATAATCTCCTTGCAAACTATTTTACTGATCTCGAACATTTCCTAGTCCACATATCAAGCGCCCTGATTATCTTACATTAGATGGATATGTGCGCTATATAAAACTACACTATTATTATTATTATTATTATTATTAATATATAAACGGTTGTTACACTTACGTCATTCTCTATTATTAGAGCAAGAATTAGTGGGCCGATAAATCCAGCACATCCACCTGTAGTAACCATCATTCCTACAATTATTCCTGAATATGTTTTTGATATGTCCATTGGGTTCGGTAAAATACTTGCTCCACAGAACCCAAGCGCACCAAAGGCAATCGTCAGAAAAATCATGAATGTCACAATATTGTCACCAGCGTAAGCTAGAACAACAAAACAGACACCCGTCACGCCAATATCTGTCAAAAAAAAAAATTATTTTAGCGAAAGTGGTAGAAACACTTCTAGTCACTGAAAGTGTTTTTATTTATTTATATTATTATTCAATATGAAAATCAAGGTAAACTTATTTTTTAAATTGAAAAATTTCAAAGCTTAAGTTAATAATTTGTATGTTACTGCAAATGAGCAAGTTCATTTCAAAAATTTTTTTTTAAATTTTTTTTGGGGTCATTTTTAGAGGACAATAACATGTAATGTATGATCATGAATTTGGTATCGCGCCATTTTCGTAGGATACAAATCGTATCGACATAAATCAGAGTTAACAATTATATCGCGTTCATAATCATTTAGTATTGTTATCATCAGAATGTGATAAATCAAGAATATCTTACTTAGAATTACGAACAACTTCCTTGTATTCGCAACACTTAAGTACCTACAATGAATGATATAATCAGCACACACCCCGGACAGCATGACGATAGGAAAGCGTACAATACTTGGAACTGATACCAACAAACCAGTCTGTATCAGGAAAATATCATTATTATCATTATCATTATCAATATCGTTGTCATTACGTTATCATTGTCAGTATTATCAAACTATTGTTTTTACGGTATAATCAATATTTTAAAGGACTCTTGTACTTTTTATTACTTTTTACGTTCCAATGCAACCATCTGTTGTCTTGTATCTTATCTATTATCATTATTACAAAATGTCATTGTCATTGTCACTTCTTAGTCCATGTCCTTGGATATGTCCATGTGTATGTATATGTTCTGTTCGTAATTCTTGTCATTGGATTATAATTGATATTTTTATTGACATTTTTATATAGTATAATCTTTATCCTGATTATACTTTAAGTTATACAGTTATTGTTATATTGATATTAAGATTTTTTTATTTCAACTTACTGTTTTTACATCAGCTCCTAAGACGCTATTTATGAAAGTCGGTGCTTCAGTAATAATGATATAATATGCAAATTCGTATGCAAAGTAGCCAATAATAATCGCCCAAACAGCAGATGATGTGAATATATCTCGCCATGGAAACAATGTATTCTAAAGGATAGTAGACAACAACACTATAAATTCTCCCTAATAATAATGATGATGATGATGATGATGATGATGATGATGATGATGATGATGATGATGATGATGATGATGATGATGATGAAACGATAAGCCACCGTTAAGTCAAACTGATAAGCCTAGGCATATCATTGCCAAATTTATGTACTGGCCGGAGCGTAATAATGTACTTGCTCAAGCCAAACAGAAGCTTTAAGAAGTTCCAATACAAGCTGTTTTGTAATTCAGGACTTTTTTCTCGTTTGTTTGGATAGCACACCTTTATTCAAAATTTAAAAATTATATCACATATTATATTTATATTTTAACTCTCTTGGACCACAACTAAGTTGTAGCATAGCTAGAAGTATACAGATTGGGCCAACGATAAGGATATAATAATAATAATAATAATAATAATAATAATAATAATAATAATAATAATAATAATAATAATATAACGCGCCATTTGTAATTGTAGACGCTCTAATTTGGTTATATGTCTACTTGTTATACACCACACAGAACAACTGAAATTAATGGATGGGAGAGCTATTGATCTATTGTAATAGCACAAAATCGTCGGCTTAAATAGGCTACCAACCCATATTGCTTTGATGTACCTAAAAAATATCAGTACTTATTGAGCCAAAGGAAAGCTTGCTCTTAACAGAATCATATAATCTATGGATTTCCAGAGAGCCTTCATAAGCTGGTCTCTCCATATTATGCTATCAAATGCCTTTCGGAAGTCCAGGAAGGCTATGTATGTATTTTTGCCTTTCTGTACAGCAAGTAGCTAGACTCTTTAAGACAAATATATGGACATGACATTTATGGGATAAACAGAATCCTCTCTGAACCTCCGAAAGGACATCTTTATTCTCAAGGTAATGTGAAATATTCTTGGCAATTATCCTATTAAAGATTTTTAACACACAAGATGTTAACAATATCCCCGATAGTTATCAAGATCTTTTCTCCTTTTTAATGGATAGCAATAATAATAATACTAGTATTCCAGTCATGTAGAATCTGCTCCATAGTAATAATTTTGTTAAATAATTCTAATAAGGATCCGAATAGCATATCACCACCATTTGTAAGCAATTCATTTGTGATACACCTAACCCAGGTGCTTTGTTATTATTTGATAAAGAAATTGCTTCTTCTACAATATCATAATCTATCAAAATATTATACAGAAAACTAAAATCTACATCGTCCTTACATTGTGAGTAAATAATGGAACCTACCTTAGTTCCTATATCATCTTTAGTTGAAAATGTATTTAGGTATTCAACCTCTTTTTTTGGAATACAAGGATCTTCCTCTGGTTTTTCATAAATAACTGTAGCCCATATAATCACCCAAACCAATCCAAACGTACCTAAGCATACGGGATATAA